TTTTTTTTAACACAATCATTATTGGTATGTAAAAATGAGGAATGAAAAAAAGGTTGTTGGGTTCAAACTTTCCAATAGAACTTCTAATTAAATATGAAAAGAAAGATGTTTTGTCTAGAAATTAGGTAATAGGTAAGACCACTTCGGAAAAGTTTATCATATCATACCAACATTCTTAATGAAAGCTGTGCAAGCGACATCAGAACTCTTAAAAAGACTTCTTATTGAATTTCTGCGTAATTATGCGTGAATATCCTGATTTGAACTTGGTACATAGTGCGCAGCTACACCACGTTATAGAACGGTTTTTCTAGTTTTCGAACGAAATGATAAGTTTTGTTAGGAGGGATTGCTCTTATCAAACGATGCTTGTTGTGATATAATCTACAAAGAAACCTACTTTAGGAAACATGCCCTACAGTGTCATCCTATGCGACAGGCCCTATTCGATGTTCTGTGCGAAGTCAAAGAAAAGACAGGTATTTCTTTGAAAACCTACGCTAGGTTTTTCTTTCAAAACGTTGATTGTTTCCTTGGTTTTTCAAGGGCTTCGCTGCGCTTGTTTCTGAATATTTTGCTCTTTGGTGGATAAATATGCTGAAATATGCTAAAACATCTTCCATGAAATCTATTTTTAGCGCTACAAATTCGCACTGGAAATGATGATCAACCAGAGGATCCACAACTTATGCGACTGGACAATATGCTGGTGTGTTTTTAGTCTTATTCTCATTCATTCAATTATGGCAATCTTTTTGTTTTCTGTTGCATTTCTCACATTAAACGCCGTTCGTTATTCAATAAATAACTTTTTGTTCTCAAAGCATACTTGATTTATGAATTTTCCCAGGTAGCCGAAGGTGTAGCTGGTCCTGATAAAGGGGCCCCTCTCTCAGGTGATGCTTCCGGCGGTGATCAGGCGGATTATCGTCAAAAACTTGGCCAGATTCGACTTGTTTATAACCAAGAGTTGCAAAAGTACGAGGAGGTGAGAGATATCTTATAAATATTAACTAATGCTAGAGAATATCTTCAATTCAATGAGAAACTCTAGGCTTGCTCCGAGTTCACCCAACACGTGATGTCATTGCTAAAAGATCAGTCACGGGTGCGACCCATCAGTCAAAAGGTGAGAACTAAATGTATTGAAATTATGTTTACACAGCGATTTTTTTGGTATCTTCTAGAAAGTAGTTTTTTTTTCCTTTAGGAAATCGAAAGAATGGTGTCCATTATCCAAAAGAAATTCAGTGGTATACAAGTACAGCTGAAGCAGTCTACCTGTGAAGCAGTTATGATTCTGAGAAGCCGTTTTCTCGATGCTAGGTTTGTCACTTGTCTTCTTTTTCTTTATCGCATCCTATCTATCTGCATCAAATTTCGAAAGAACCAATATTATGTCTTTTCAGACGTAAACGTCGCAACTTTTCGAAACAAGCAACAGAAGTGTTGAATGAGTATTTTTATTCACATCTGAGCAACCCGTACCCGTCAGAGGAGGCAAAAGAAGAACTTGCACGGCAGTGTAATATTACAGTGTCTCAAGTGGGTGACTTTTGTGGTTTCCATTTGTTTTTGATGGGACTTATTTTCTTTCCAATGCAAAGCGTTAGGAAATTGAGAAGTAACTTCAATCTTACTTGATATTATCAAAAAA